GTTTTTCTCACCTATGGCCTCAGTTCCTGGCACATAGTAAGTCATTAACAAATATTTTCATATGAATAAATGTTTAATACTGATCTTTTTTCCTATGAACTAGATCTTAATTTTCTGATTACGTACTGGGCATTTCCACTTGGCATTCCTCTTAACACTCCAAAATATTTGTTCAGGTTAACAAACATTTGCTGTGTGCCAACAGTATATAGGGCCTAAGGATATCTCTATTCTAAAGAAACAAAAAGCACAATTGTGTGTGTGAATGCTTTTAATCAGTATGACCTGCTCCATCAGTTTGGGGTAATAGTCACATATCATTTCATATCATTTATTTTTCCAATTAATTGCTCAGTTTAGGTCCTTATTAGGAAAACCTGTGTCTTACCCTTGAGGCTGCCTTTCTCACCTAATTCACCAAAAACCACAGGCAGTAATTTAGCCCAGAGAAGTTAAAAGTTGTCCGTCTCCAGGTAAGAGAGGGAACTACTGCCAAAACTCTTTAGGTACTAGCTGCTGTTGCCATTGCGAGTTGGCTCTCCTCAGCATCCTTGCTCCCCTGTCATGTTGTCCTGGGTGCACAGCTTGTAGAGTGGCTGAAGCATGGACTCCCAGAGTTTTTCTACGCTTGGATACTGTTCCCAAAGAACACGGGTATTCCTAGATGGCTGAATTTGGATGGCCTCCATGACTTAGCCAAGTACTGTGCTGGAACCAGTTCTCCTTGTGGCCATGAGGCTGTTTTTGAACTATTCACCAGCCCAGGCTTCCTATTTCCCCTGGGAGTTTCTCTTTGGGATCCCGAGCTTATGAGACAGGACTATCTCAGTCTATCAGAAGGTTCTAATAATATGGAACCTCAAAAGGAAAGAGGTTGACATCTCAGTCTTTCTTCCCAGAAGGCAATCCTAGGCAAATTTTCACATTACCAATTTGGGCCAACTAGGGTTATTTGGAGAAATGGTCTTGTCTAGATGTCCTGTTACATACTTTCCCCAATCCAATGGGTACCAAACTCTCCTATAAATGTGTCAGTAAGAAGGGCTTCTCAAGTGTTTCTTTTCTAAGCAAAGATGAACTGTTCCTTGTGACTAGAGGTGTTTACCTTGTCAGAGAAACGATTGGCTGTTTCTATTTAAAAAAGTTTTAAGATCTGCCTCCCCGACACCCTAGTTCTATATTAATAGAACTACATATGAACATAAGTAGTACAAAGTGGGGAGTGATTAACTTTGCAGGGAGTGGGGGTGGCAGTGGGGGGAAGTGGTCAGAAAACAGTTTGGGGTCGGAGACCATCAAAGCTTCATCTTTAAGGATGTTAGGGCAGAACGGGATTGGTATTTCAGGTAGAAGGAACAGCATACTCGAGGGAAAAACCAGAGGGGAATAGAAGTGTGTCCTGGGGCAGAGGTAGAATATACCTGTTGGAGGGGAAGAGTGCCAAGTTAGGAATTCAGAGAGGTAGGCAGAGCTTATATCATAACTGCCTTTCTGTAAGATGCTAAGGATCTTGGGGTTTATCTTGGTGATGAGGAACCAGTGAGGAATTTATTCATCTGCATCTCAATATCTTTCCTGACAAGCATGTGCCATTTGTGTGCCCCTGCTCTCTGGTAAATATTATTATCCTCTCAGGCACTCAACCAGGACATTTCGGAGTTAATAAAAATTTTTTCTTCCTACTAAGTAATGATCTCACCCATCCCCACGCAATTTGAATCCACAAAGTCCTTTCCTTCCTGTTTGCTCTGTGCTGCACTCTCTCAGATGCCCACAACATTTTACCTAGATTATTTCAAGAATGTTCAAACTGGTTTCTCTACTTGACGCTTCGCTCCCTCAATCTTTCCTACACGCTGCCACTAGCATGGTCTTCCTTAAATGATAGCTGAGGTCATTACCCTTCCCCCAAACCTGCAATACTCCCTCTTACATGCAGAATAAAATCCCACCTGGTTAACTTCATGTTTTAGATCTTCCATTAAACATTTCATCCTTTTCTCTCATTTCACACCCCTTCTTTTTTTTTTTTTTTTTTTTTTTGGGGGTTGTCTTTACCTATTTCTTTTTTTTTTTTTTGCGGTGCGCGGGCCTCTCACTGTTGTGGTCACTCCCGTTGCGGAGCATAGGCTCCGGACGCGCAGGCTCAGCGGCCAAGGCTCACGGGCCCAGCCACTCCCCGGCATGTGGGATCTTCCTGGACCGGGGCACGAACCCGTGTCCCCTGCATCGGCAGGCGGGAAGCCCTCACACCCCTTCTTGAACCTCCATCCACACCAGAGTTAATCATCTTCCTGAATCTGCTTTGTACCTGCTTTGTCTCTGTAGCTTTGCTCCTATTATATCTTCTCCTAAAGCCCTTTTCTTCCATCTATTTTTCAAGGCCTGGCCCAAATCACATCAGCTGCATAACATATTACTCCGAAATTTAGTAGTTGAAAGCAATGACCAGCATTTATTATCTCCTATAGTTTGTGTGAGTCAGGAATTTAGGAGCGTCTTGGTTGAGTGTTCTGGCTTGGGATGGCTCATGAGGCTGCAGTCATCTGAGGCTTGACTGGGGATGGCAGATCTGCTTCCTAGGCTGGGAACCTGGTGCTTGCTCTTGGTAGGAGTCCTCAGTTCTTCCCTAGGGCTATTTGTTCTCTGCACAGCTGGCTTCCCCAGCAGCAGCAATCTGAGAGACCAAGGTGGGAACCACAATGCCTTTTATGATCTGGTTTCAGAAGTCACATACCATCACTTTTGCCATACTTTTTCTGTTACACAGACAAGTCCTAGCATGAGGGAGATTACACAAAGGCATAAATAACAGGAAGCAAGGATCATCTGGGACAGTGTTGGAGGCTGGCTGTCACAACATCTCTTCAAGAGGCTTTCTAGATTCCCTGGCTCCATATGCCCCTCTCCTCCCTATTCCCAATAGTTCAAATTCTTTAAAAATAAGAGCTCCTGAAGACCTCCCAATTAATTCACACTTAAAAAAATCATTTAGTATTATAAAGTATAAATCCGAAAAGTTGCTTTGCTTAATTATCAAAGGACACAGTGCTAAGGAACCTTCTCTAAAATCCTAGGTTGACAGAAACTTCATTGTTTGGAACTCATATTAGTGAGAACAGAACATTCCTTTCTTGCCTGGGGGATGTATACCCTCCAGGTCACTTTGATTTAGAGAATTGGCTTCAATTTTCAGTGCGGGGGGTTTGGACACAATACTCTACATTAATCTTAAATTTATTTTTCAAGAAAATAGAACCACTAGTCTGCTTCTCAAGCCAGGTCTGATATTAACCCCTTTACATACAGATCCGATTTGCTCTGAGCCTATTAAGTACTGTTTTATTTAGAATCTACCTAAACTCTTCCCTTCCCCGATACCATAATGATCCCCATTTCCTCCCTGTTTTGGAGACATACCCACAATTCCTCTGCTTCCTCTGCTGTGTGGGGTTTCCTTTGCTGCAGCAAGTTAATAAACCTAACTTTGTTGGGTTACAGGTTTGTCCCTGGTGGTCTTTATATGATGGGCTTTATGAACAACTAAAATTATTTGAGCTCATTATTAACTAATTTCATTTTTTAAGAATCACTCATGCTCCTTGAACAAGGGTATCTTTTAGAATATCTTGCCCAATGAGTCCTTCTTATCTTTCTTCTGAACTATAGTCTACTTACTAAATATATCTTTTCTTTGAAATATAATCTATTTACTAATTAGACATGTTTTGGACTAACCTTGCATGCCCTTCCTTCAGTGCTACAAACTCCAAGATGATAGTCACTTTCTCCCAAGGTCCCTAGCACTTTCACAGTACTATGCAATTTATTAGTGAATTAGTAACTTTCCCTCTTGTCTTACTGAGTGACTCTTGTAATCTTTATTAGGCAACTACCAATTTATATTGAGAAAACACCTAGGAAACCACTGTTTTGTGGGCTACGTCAAAGTGGGCTACTTTAATATGTGCATTATGCAAGGTTTTATGTACTTATTTTCTGACTGACACACTTGCTTTTTTCTCGTTTCCTCAACTAAAGACAGGGACTCGCTAGTCACTGTACATACCAGAGTCTAAATGCTAAGGATAAGAAATTTTGTATCATCGGGCCTGACAGAAGAATGCTGTAATCTGTAATGCCCTTCTGATTCTGAGAGTAAGGCCAGCATTAATACAATGCACTCTTGTTATGTCTGAATGTCTCTCTGCAAAGAACAGTGTTTCTCAAACTTTTTGTTTGATCAGATCCACATTAAGAAATACATTTTTTTTTTTTTTTGCGGTACGCGGGCCTCTCACTGTTGTGGCCTCTCCCGTTGCGGAGCACAGGCTCCGGACGCGCAGGCTCAGCGGCCATGGCTCACGCGCCCAGCCGCTCCGCGGCACGTGGGATCCTCCCGGACCGGGGCACGAACCCATGTCCCCTGCATCGGCAGGCGGACTCTCAACCACTGCGCCACCAGGGAAGCCCAAGAAATACATTTTGTATCACTCCTCAGGACACATAGATATAAAAGACTGGTATAAAAATTTCTCAAAACAACTCCTTTACATGTAATGCACTCTCAGATTGTTCTATTGTGTTCTATTCTTCTAGATTTCATTAAAAAAAAAAGGTGGTGGTCTCCATCTATCAAACCGATATCACAATCCCCTAGAGATTATAACCTATGGTTTAGAAAACACCGGCTTGGCAAAAGGTTTTTGATTTGTAGTCATTCTTTCCACATTTCCGTACACCTTGGAGAGTTCCCGACAGCTGTTTTCATCTAAAGGATTACTGTGCCCTCAGTTTTGTGTAAATGCTCCGTGACGGGGCCGTTTCCCTTCTTCCGGGCTCCTTTAAGAGGGTGGTAACACCCCACCCTAGAGGTGGAGTGGCAGGTCCCACCAAGCCCCCGGCGCAGGCCAGGCCCGCTTTTCCAGTTCGTGTGAAAGCCTGCGCGTGTGTGCGTGCGGAGGTGGGGGGTAGGGGTGAGCCAGGGGCGACACACTGGCCCAGCAGGAGCCAGAACAGCAGAGAGAGGCCCAGGGCCGTCTCCGAGCCCGCGTTCCCGGAGACCCTGCGAGGGTCCACGCGTGCGCAGAGCGCGTCCCGGGACCTTTCCGGCCTCCGTGGCGTCCGCGCGCGCTCCCCATGAGCCAAAGTCCGAGGTGGGCTCCGGCGCGCGGCCGGTGCGGCGGCGCGCGCCAGGGGGCGGTCCTGCGCGGCCGGCACTGCCCGCCCCCCGCGCGCTCCTCTCCTCCCAGTCTCCCCCGCGCTTCCTGCACTACGGTAGTCGCCGCCGCGTCCCCGTGCCTGTCCCCGTCTGGCTAGCAAAGGCTGTGCCATGGCGGCCTTCAGCAAGTACCTGACCGTGCGAAACTCCTCGCTGGCGGGGGCCGCGTTCTTGCTGCTTTGCCTGCTCCACAAGCGGCGCCGCGCCCTCGGCCTGCACGGGTAAGAAGGCCCGTGGCCGCGCCGCCTTCCCGGGCCCGAACGTGAGCTCCCCGCGCTCTCTTCGCCCGGCGGACGAGTGCCTTTGCCCCACGGGGTCAAGCGGAGAGGGGGCCGGCTGCGACCGCTGTCAGGATCCAATGTCAGGATGTCCGGTGTCCCCGCGGCGCGGGCGTCCCCCGTGCTCCCTGCGCTCCGCCGGCCTGTCCGGCTGCTCAGTCTGCCCCCGGGTGTGCGAATCTTTTTCCTGCTCCCGCTAGCAAACCCGTGCCTCTGCCCCGAGGCCGTCGCCCCTGATGTCCTCCCCTTTCTTGCATCAGCACCACCACCTCCTTTTTGCATCAACTTTATGGGTGTATTCTTTTTTTGCCATCTCATCTCCTGACAGACCGTGGATTTGCTTTGTGGACGTGTATGTGTGATTTGAGGATGGGGATTGGACTCATCAGGCTGGAGGCTGTTGTCTAAGTCATTGGATGAGTGAGGTTTGGCACGATTCCTTAGTAGTTGCTGTTGAAAGTCGCGAGGATGGTTCGTGTGGAACTATCCTGGGTCCATTTGGCAAAGTTGCTTTCTAAAGTGGTGTCCCCTTCGAGTTGGCCAGTGAACACCCTAGCATTTTTCATCGGAAAAGCTGAATCGGTTCCGAGGTATTTGGAGGGCAAGGTTCGTTTCCCTGACTCGCAGGTGGAACGTGAAAGTGTGTTCTAGATAAGGGTCCAGATCCCTTTTGATTATATTCCGCAGCTTCTCCCTCGAGAATTTTAATGTTTAAATTTAACTTCGGGAGATTATAAGATTAGAGAAGGAAGAGAGAGAATTGAGTTACTGTTGTGGCGTTACAAGACATAATTTTTTATTTGCTGGGAGTCACTTTCCTTCAGCAAATGAATGAGAAAAGGCTACTTCCAACGCATTTTTGCTACTATTGGATATTTCATATTAAATCTTAGCATAGTGCTTTCATCCATTTTACTTCATTTCTTTGGGCAGGTACTGTTGCCTTCTGTTTTGACTTGCCTAATATATCTTATTAGTAGTAGATTTTGGACTAAAACACTGCCAAGTGGCCTTCCTTCCCATGAAGTTCTTACTAACCTTCCCCTGGCTTCTTTATCTTATTAGTCTGAAGCAGTGGTCTTCCTTTTCCTTTCTAAATCTGCTTAACAAAGTTGAAAATGATTTGCTTCTTTGTCAGGACAGTACAGTACCTGTTCACTTTTCCTCTCTTCAGTTTGCTTTTAAAATGATTTATTCTGGAAAATATAAACAAAATTTTCTGTTAGATTGTGTGCTTTCTGATCTCCCAGTTGCAAATGGAAGTTATTTGTTATCTGGGAATATGCTAATAGAAAATGCAGAATGTTATAAAATAACTTTGAATTAACACTTTTACAGAGAAGTGTTTTAGTGCATAGAACAGGTGTTTTAGTATGGGAGAGGGGGATTTGAGGACAGCCCTAACAGCTCTGGCTTGCTTTTATGATTTTTTTAATTAAAAACTTTGTTATATTGGAGTATTACATACTTGTAGAAAAATACACATAAGTGTAGAGCTTGAAGAGTTTTCACAAATAGAACTCACTCATGTAATCATCACTGTCATCTGCACCCAGATGAAAATATTATCAGCAACCCAGAAGCTCTTTTCAAGTCCCTTCCAGTCACAGCTAAAGAAGTTACTGATTAATAAGGCCATAGATTATTGAGCGAGGGAAATTTTAAACATAATCTAATGGGAAATAGTAGCAATAATAGCAAGATGGTATAATGCAATCAGTTTTATTAAATAATTTAAGTGTTTATTCATTATTATGTAAAATGCTTTACAAACCTCTTTTTGAGAAACTTTGTAAACTTTTGGGGGGATTAAATTATGCAACAGTTAATTTACTGAACAAAAGATTGTTGTTAATCTTTTGCACTGGCAGTAGTGAGGAAAATCTTTATTTTACACATTAGTTTGTGGGAAGAGAGTGCAAATTATGAGCAGATAAGCATGATGTTTAAATTACTGAGGTAAAATGGTTGAATTACTATAAAACCATTAAGAATGGTGTCAAATCTATCTTTGTAGATAATATACTTCCATAATCATTTGGATATCTTTCAGTTGCTATCTTTGGCATCATAGTTTGAAGATCAGAAAATTCTAACTTTATATTTTACTGGCTTTTCGGGTGACTTTGGTAACAGGGCTAATTAATTTTACTATCTAGTGCCTAATTAAGGAACCTGTGACTGCTTGACCTTTATTTGTCTATGCTATTGACAGTAGATTTGTCTTAGAAGATATTCCTTAGAACCAGACAGTTAATAAAGATAATAAAATCACTTTAAAAGTTACAGTGTCATTTTATTCCAGACATTGGGAGAATGAGTAATTTAATGTTCTGAATAATTTTTTAGTTACATATGATTTGACTGGGTGAAATTTACTTTTTATTATGGAAAATTTCACACATATTCAAAGTAAGCAGAATAATATAATGGACCTCCTGTACGCTTCACACAAGAAGTACCATTAACATTTTACCATTCTTGTTTCTTATAGCTCCTTGCTCCCCACCCCTTATTTTTACAGATTTTTAGGTAAAATTTATATATATTGAACTGTACACATCTTGTACATTTTTAAAATAAATGGATACAATAGTATAACACATCCCTTTCATAAATTAGAACATTTTCATCTCCCCAGAAGGTTCTCTTGTATTCATTCTACATAACCACCGTACTAACCTTTTTCACCCTAGTTTTGCTTAATCGTACATCTTATTTTGTTTATTATTTATATGGGGAATAGTGGAATCTTGTTACTCATGGATAAAGGAGACCATGTATTTCAGTTCAAAGGAAGCATCTGTTTCAGAATGTTGTATTACTAGGTGCTATGGGATGGAGAGGTGTGTGTGTGTGCGTGTGTGTGTTACACATACATTAAAAAAATATATGACATCTTTAAGTGTGAATTAGTTAAAAATGTAAGATGATGACAATGCAGTGTACAGACAGTTATATATTAAAAAATTCTGAGAAAGAAGAGATTAATGTGTTTGGGAAGAGTTAGGGAAGGTTTTATGAAGGATGTGAGCTAAGCCTAGAAAGAGGGTAGGAATGAATAACGAGATAAATTGAATGTCAGTAGCAGCCCTTATCATATTTTTGTTGCATTTTATGGGAGGAAGAAGCTTGGTGGTACTCTTTCAGTCCAAACACAAATATAATCATGTTATTTCTTCATTAAAATCTTTCAGTTATTCTAAAATACAAAATTCTTAGCATGAGTGAATGATGTTCATGATCTGGTCCTTTGCTACTTGGACTCAGCCAGCCATATGGCATTAACACGCTCTGAGCAGGACAGGCTCTGCCCAGCCGTTGCAGTCTTATTGTAATCACTGTCATCCCCACCACTTCTTCCCACCCTCTGATGTTTATTTTCCTTCAAGACTCAGTTCAGTTAGCACTTTCCTGTCTTTTCCTGATCTCCAAACTGATGTTGTTGTCCTCTGCTCTCAGGCTGCTCTAAGCATTCCCCTACTCTAGTTGCCACTCTGTATGGTAGTTTATTTCCTTGGCTTCTACCTGCATCAGACTGTGAGCTTCTGGAGGGCATGGACTGAGTCATCTTTAAATTCCTAGTTTGCACATGTCATAAGATAGACATTCAGTAAGTATATATAGGTTGGACAAATGATGTAGGATAGTTGAAGAATTTTTTTTTTTTTTTTCTTTGCGGTACGTGGGCCTCTCACTGTTGTGGCCTCTCCCGTTGCGGAGCACAGGCTCCGGACGCGCAGGCTCAGGGGCCATGGCTCACGGGCCCAGCTGCTTCGCGGCATGTGGGATCTTCGCGGACCGAGGCACGAACCCGTGTTCCCTGCATCGGCAGGTGGACACTCAACCACTGCGCCACCAGGGAAGCCCATTTGAAGAATTTTTAAGGGTAATTGTCTGACAGGCAGTTGGAGGTGGGGTACTAGTTCAAACATGAGTAAAGGCATTATCTTCAGAGAAGTGATAGTTGTGTACCTGAGATTATATAACAGGAACTGGGGATAGGGAAGGGTAGGAAATCAGTGGGCCAGTATTAGAAGGCAGGGAAGAGACCAGTCTACATTGCCAAACTATTTTATGATCTTAATAAAACCAAACAAAGAACAAAAACAGAACAAAGCAGTTTTCTTTCTCTTCCCATGAATGCTTGTCAAAGTTCAGATTTCTCTTCCTGGATTTCAGAACCTTCCTTTATCTGGTCTCACCTTACCTGGCTAATCTTTTATTCCATTGCCTGCCAGTGACTACTCTCTGTTCCAAATAGGCCAGTTTCTGCACTGTTTTCTGAACAGGCCACACTCATTCCTGGCCTTGGAGCCTTATTCATGATATTAGCCATACCTGGAATATCTCTTCCTGTATCCTCTGTTCTTCAGCTCTTATCCTTTAAGGGTTACGTCAAGGTCACCTTTTCCATGAAGTAATTTTAAACAACCCCTTTTTAAGCTTATGAACCATGTATTTAGGTACTTTTCTTTTTTCATCTATTAATTGTTTGACTGGGTATGATCTAGTTGTTAGCCATTAGAGTGTCCACCAGCTTATGGGGTCCTCCTTCGTCCTTTTTCAAATCCCCAATCTGTAGATGGTAGGAGTAACCAAATATTTTTGGAGAGTTTCAGGGAGCTTGTGTTTCTCTTAGTCACGCCTTACTTCTATGCTTCTGCTCTATTTTAGAACCCACTTGTATGTTGTCTCTTGAGCCTGTCATTTTGGTATCTGCCTTGATTCCTCCAAAACATCAGTCACAAAGCAGGTATTTGTAGTAGAGCTTTACTGAAAATTTGGGAGTAGTGGCAGGGATTATATTGCAACATAGGGAACAGCTTAAAATG